GGGGGGGGGGGGGGGGAGGGGGGTTTCATCAAGGAGGACAGACATGCTAAACGCCTTTTTTGCAAAACGAAAACAAAAAATAGAGGTTGGAAAAAATGGACAGCAGAAAAGAGGAGGAAGAGGAGGTGAAGTCGAAGGGAGGATGTTTCTTATATTTGAAAAGGATGATAAAAGATAATGATTGATTGATTGATTGTTGGTGCTTGCTTGCTACTGCTGAATGTGCTGATAAGAGAGATACACAGCATGGCTGCTACGGTAGTATGATTGGATGGATGGGAGAGACAAGGAGAGATTATGCTTTTTTTTTCTTGAACTTTTTCTGGTCGGAGATGCAAGATTTAATTCTTTTTTTATACGTTTGAACGGCTGAGCGGATGAGAAGTTTCCTAATGCAAAACAACACAACGATATGCAAACGCCATCCTCTCGTCTCACCGCAGTTTGCAAACGAGGAGGAGGAGGAGGAGGAGGAGGATGATGATGATGATGATGATGGAACGATCGAATCTGTGAATGCAGCGTGTGCCTGGATTCAACCAAATGGTCTGTGTATATACACACACAGCATGGTCAAAGCTTTAGGAACCTCACTTCAGCGGCATGGCTACAGTGCTGAAGAAAACAAGATCCTCACAACAAGTCTGGCACTTCCACTCCTCCATGAGACGGTCTAATGGACTTTGAAGGCCGCCGCAGAATGAACCGGCTTCGTCGCCAACTCACTCGAATCGGGCCTTCTTTAACAACTCGAAATCATCTCCCATGGTATCCTTGGGTCCCGTCGACATTGTCATGGTCCTCCTAACACCAGCACAAAACAGCCTTGTCAGTGGATACCATGTTGTAGAGCTGGGCCTGGCGATGCACGGTATGCCCTTGCCTTGCATGTTTCTAGCACCAAGAGTCCATACCTCCCTCCTCATCCACAGTTTCGACAAGACTTTTGGCGGCAGAGCCTTTGTAGAGGTCCTCGAAGTGTATACGGCATGTCAGGGCAAGGCTTTTTTCGTGATCGCTCATCGCAATCGTGTCGTGGTTGGTCACATGTATCCGTGAAGCCTGAGATGTAGAGCTGTCAATGGTCATGTAAGACAGGAAGCTTTGCTCAGGTCGTTTTGCGGTTAAAGTGAAGCCATGTGAGGTCTGGCTGTCTGTTGTTTCAAGCGCCGCGACACTTATAAGGCGCCGCTGGCATTGAGCATGGGATTGAGGACGAGGGTCGCACCATCCGTGAAGTGACAGGACCACCGACCACAAGCACTGCCTGTATGGATGCCTTCCGTGCAAAGGGCCAGAGAGTTATACGATAGTCATGATGTGCTATGAGCAGCCACAACTATGAAGCGCTCACTCAGAATCGTATCTCATAACTACCAGCTCTCGTCATGTAGCGCACCCACTTCACGCTAGAGTAGTTGCTCTTCTCAAACACTTTGAGATATCGAACGAGTAAGCCCGAACTTGTAAACATGAGCAGACTGAATTGCATACTCAGTGGAGGTCTTGACCATGCCTTGTAGTTTGTCATGGCCGACAGCTCTGCTTCTGCTGACAGCACAAACTCGCTCTGTCCTGTAAAGCGCGCAATCTTCCACTCGATGACATTCTCCGCCGGAACATACTTCGCTTTGCCCTGCGAGCAGCGATGTGTGGTATTCGCAGTGTTGAGAGGCGTCGGTATTCGCACACTGACATTGGTCGCAAAGAGCTTTGCGCCATAGTTTGCTCGGATCGCAATGGAGTATTCGACTTTGGTTCGCCCAATCTCGTTGACGATGACTTGCACTTTGAAGGGAAGGTTGACATTTTCGGAACAACGATACGACATGAGTTGGAAGGAGCCGTCCGGGGGGATGAAGGAGATGGTGCGATCGGTGGTGAACGAGCTGAGCTTCACGCATTGGTGCAAAGAGACATCTTCCAGCGTGACACTACCAGCTGCTGCTTTGGTCGCTTTGCTCCCCGCCAAGTTTCCAGTAGGTCCTGCTGCTCCGTCTAGACTTCCAGAATGTGAGCCAAGAGTGAGAGCATCGTTGAGACCGAACTTGCATTCTGGTGTGCCAGAAAGATATGCTCGCATTTCAATAGCTCCATTCACATCAGCACGTAATACTGTGCCCGACGCCGAGACGAGCAGATTGACGTCCTCTATAACATCGACAAATGCCTCGTTCTTGCGGTATTTGATGTTGTCTCTTCTCCAACTGAGCGCTCCCGTCGCCTGCATGGTGATTTTGCTGCTGTCTTCGAGTGCTCGCTCACTCTTGACTCCTTCTGTGGTGATGTACATCTTCAAAGTCTCCGTCTCTGTATTCTGAGGATAGCCAAAATCCAGAATCTCGTCCAACAGCTCGTAGACCATGACGAAGTTGCTCTTCACGGCCTCTTCATCGAAGCGCCCAAAGTAGCTCTTTCCGAGCTGGACCAGCTTGTACAGGAATTCAAAGACCAAGGCGCTGTTGACATTGCCCTTTGACACTCCCACAATGTAGATATTTTCGCTCCTGATATGGCTGAAGGTCGTACTCCCGAGGGTGAGTATGGGCGATCTGATCTGTGGGTTCGATATGACTTGGATCCGGAAGACATCGGCCAGTCGAGGGCGCATGTCCTGGCGGAAAGCGCGCAGAATGAGCAGCTCACCCTTTTGGTTGAACAGCAGCACGCCGGACAGCATGGCGGCGACGGTGGGAGGCGGAGTGTATGCGGGAGGTGGTGTGGTTGTTGTCGTGAATAGCGGAGAGGTGAAGGTACCTACTTACTGTAGGGTGGAGTGGGCAAGGGGAGAGTTCCAAATTCGCGTCCTCCAACACGCGTCAACCTTGCGCCGGAAACACATTGATTCAAACAACCTTCAAATATGCCCAAACGACGCAAGCGAGACGATACCACAACAGAAGACGATGACCCGACTCCACGCAAGGCCAGACGGAGCGCTCCAGACGACCATGTCCCTTCGATATCAAGTCCTTTGCGAGGCTCAGAAACGCCCTCTCGCTCCATCCTGAAGCAGACTCCCACCAAGGCCAATGGCTTGCAGAGTTTTGATGCTACACCCAGTTCCCTCCGAAAGGTCTTGTTTGCCACTCCAAATAGGCCAGAGGAAGAAGTAGACGACAACGCTGAAGAGACACCGCTGGCCACTCGGAACGACCGCAACGATCGCTCGGCGCGTAAGAAGAGTCAGCGAACACTGCAGAAGCAGATTGCACAGGGAGACGACAGCGATGATGGCGAGAACGAGCAGGATGAAGCCATTGCACAGGCCATATTGGGCGAGGATGAAGATGTGGAGGACGGCATGGAAATGGAGATAGCAGTTGCGCCAGACACCCCGTCAAAGACGGGCAGACCACGAGGACGACCGAAAGGGAAGAGGCGTGAGCGTACTCCTAGTCCTCCACCCAATCTGCCACCCCATGAACTCTTCTTCTTTCAGAATCGAGGTGGTGGAAACAAAACATCTGCCAATACTATGCCAAGCAATCTCCTGCTCAATCATGAAGACTACTTTGCTCGAATTGCGTCTTATGAAGACCCGCACAAGTCGGATATTGCGATGCTGAAGCAGTTGCATGTACGAGCATTCAATCAATGGAACTTTGAATTAGAGGAAGGTTTCAGCATTTGCTTATATGGTTATGGCTCGAAGCGTAGTCTAGCCATGGACTATGCTGAGCACATATATGGCCAATCAGAGAAGCCACCGAATATTGTCGTAGTCAATGGCTACGCTTCTGGATTGACGATACGAGATGTGCTCACCACCGTCGCCAGTGTAATTGTCCACAAAGGCAGCAAGCTTCCAGCACAACCCGCTGCAATGCTCGACACCATCTTGACGACTCTGACGGAAACACCACCCAAGGAACCCATCAAGCTCATCATCCACTCACTCGATCACGTCAATCTCCGCAAAGCAGCATCTCAAACACTACTAGCACGTCTCGCCGCCCATCGTAGCATATCACTCATAGCTACATGCGACAATCCCAACTTCCCCCTCTTGTGGGACATATCTCTCGCCTCGCAATACAACTTCCTCTTTCACGACGCCACGACTTTCTCGCCCTATACCGCAGAGATCGAAGTCGTAGAAGATGTCAACACCCTCCTCGGCAGAAGCAGCAGACGTCTCGGAGGCAAAGACGGCGTAGGCTACGTCCTCAAATCTTTACCGGAAAACGCAAGATCTCTCTTCAGAATCCTCGTAGCAGAACAACTCGCTCTCGCCGATACCGAGGGCGAAATGTTTCTCAATGGTCCCGGCGCAGGCGAAGATAGTGAACCCGACGACGAAAACGACGACGACGACGACGACATCATCGGAGTCGCAGATGACAACGAAGCAGCAGCAGCAGCAGAAGCAGAACATTCTCCATCCAAACGCATCCGCGGCCGAGGCAGACCTGCCAAAAAGCCCAAACAGAAAAAGTCCACTCCATCGAAAAAACTCTCCATGCCAGCAACATCATCATCAGGAGGCGTAGAATATCGCACTCTCTACCACAAAGCCGTGGAAGAATTTGTGTGTTCGAGCGAAGTGAATTTCCGAACGTTATTGAAAGAATTTCATGATCATCAGATGATTGAATCGAAAAAAGATGCTTTGGGGACGGAAAGGTTATTGGTTCCGTTTCGAAGGGAGGAGTTGGAGGCTATTTTGGAGGATTTGGTGTGAAGAGGTGGAGTTGGTTAATTCAGGTAAACTAGGTACCTTAGGTTGTCGAGTCAAGTGAAGCGCAGTTTAGTGGAAATTAAACGTCGAGAAGTTCAAAGTACCTAGGTAGAGAAGAAGATGGGTGTTCGGATTATACAGGTAGGTACGTTATGTGAATGATATGAAGAAGAAGAAGGTCAATAGGAGAATAAAAAGTGTGATAATGAGATGATGGATTATGTGTCTCTACCGTACTCTTTTCTTTCGAACCAACATTCATATCGGTAACGACATCCTTCCTAGCTCCAGACACACAAATTCTCCCTCCCTCTCTTTTTTTCTTTCTTTCTTTCCGGGCATCAATTCGTTTCCGTTCCGCGCACGTGCAACCCCCCCCCCCAAGACCTCTCCAACAAGGAGGACAAAGTAGTAGTAGTAGTACTAAGTAACGGCAGTAGTAGAGTAGATACGACAATTTTCTACATAACAAACGCCATAGCGCCAACAACAAGTGCACCAATCATCGCCACACTAGCACCGAATCCAGCAGCAGCTCCAGAGCTCGAGGCAGTAGGAGTTGGACTACTTGTCGTATTGGTAGTGTTGGATGATTCGGTAGTATTAGTGGATTCCGTGGTATTGGTAGTGGTGGTGGTGGAGTTTGCAGGGTCGTCGTTGGAGGAGGCTGTTGTCATGGTTCCCACTAGTGTACCTCCTACGGGACCTTCAGAAGTTGGGCCTGTGGCTTCTTTGCCTTTGGATGCGGTTTGGTAGGCTTCGATGGTTTCGTCGCCGCTGATGGGGGTTGTTAGTATATATAGTAGGTAGGTGTTTTTTTTACTACTAAAGGGTTGAGATGGACAGAAGAAAGAAAAGAGGAATTGAGGATTGAGGGTCTTGCTTATATAGCTAAGCAAGAACTCTCTCTCTCTCTCTCTCTCTCTCTCTTTTTTCCTCTCTCTTTCTTACCTGGGATTGACAGCAAGAGACATTCCCAACTGGCAATGAGGTCCGACGGCACAGAAGAAAATCTGAGGATCTGTAGAGTTCACGGTGAACTCAAAGACTTCTCCATTGCTGTAGACACCAGAGTTGAGACCGACAGCGCTATTGAATTCGCAAGGCGATGCCCACGATCCAGAGACAATATCATGATGATTGACTTTGCTAAAAGTCACTTTGATCATGTCTCCTGCTGCCACGTCGGAGAGCGAGTTTGGCTCGAATTCCACGCCATCTGTGGCAACGACTTCGTGGACGGTCTGAGCGTAGGCGGAAGAACCAAGGAGGAGGAGGAGGGTGAGTCGGGACTGCATCTTGTGAATATAGGCGGTATGGCGAATTGATTGACTAAGCTGCGTGCGTGGGTTTGAGCAAGTTTTTGAGGAATACTTATAACACTCGCGTCCACCGAGCGCGCTGGCGGTACACAAGTATTATACCTACCTCTGCACCCTCTGGTCACCACGACGGCCCTGGTCGCCATGCCCTCATCTTACTGTCGATACCTCGTGTGGATGATCTTCTCCAGCAAGCTGACAGCAAGCTGTCTTCCAAGGACGCCCCGAAAGTGTTTGAGATTGAGACGTGCCTACTGGTCCGGGGATCTGAGACTTTGCGAAGCGACCAGTCTCTCGCTGCACGCGGCAGTCATCCAACAAGAACATCCTAGAGGCCGACAGCGTTCTAGCTTCTTTGGATGACTCTGATTTGAGAGAGGAGTTTTGAAGCGCGCGACCCCAGCGCATACTTACAGCTGTACCAACTGCCACCTCGTATGGCAGATCCTGGTTGCTACGAACTGGCCGAGCTTCCCGTGTCCAACGGATTTCCAGCTTTCCGAATTGTGCCTGGCAGTAGTACGGTACCTTAGTGTATACCTGTCTCTTTTCTATTATTCTAGCGCGGTAAGATACCACGCCGCCGCCCAGGAACTCGCTGCGTGCCGCATCTTGTCCGACTGGGCAGAGTCTCAGAGGATATATTTTGGCGCTGAAACAGCACAGCATGTCAGACATTGCGCTTTGAGGCTTGAGATGAATTAATCAGGACTGGCACGTCTGACGGATGAGAGAGACCGAGAGTCAGAGAGAGAGATTCTCTGGGGCTGTGCAGCGGAAGCCCTGTTGCGGGATTGCAAGGTAAGCTGGTCGCCGAGTGATTGTTCCTGGATGTCAATCATGAACAAGTATGTACCTCTTGTTCAGACGCCCGGAAATCGCGGAGTACAGGCCGAAGCAGAAGGACAGGTGAGGTGGTGAGGGTAGGCCATCAAAAAGGTTGAATTCTTCTGGGAGCAGAAGCCACGAAAAGGAGGATGGATGAATGGTGTACTCGTTGGAGATGGGGAGTCAAGAGATGAGGAGGATGGCTTGGCGAAAGTACGGCGGACCACAAACATCATGAGGACGAATAGAGGAAAAAGGAGACATGGAAGTTGACAAGGTGAGAGAAGACACGTGATTGTGATTGTGATAGTTTCGTGACATTCACCGGAGTATGTAGCCCAACGCACCTGCTATACTACAGCAAGTGCAGCTACGAGAAGAGTGAAGAGTGTGTTGCCCGCCTCAACCACGTGCAAGACTTGAATTTCAGAGCCCATGCATGTGAGGCCCGCCCAGCTCATGTAGAGAAAAAGGAGTCTCTGCAAGAAGCGTGTGTCGGCAGTGTAGTGGTCGGAATGACCACTCACTCTGTCGTCTCAAGAACACCCTCCATGTTGGTGTTCTCGTCGACAGCGACAGGAATGGAAGTCTCCTGTCGCTGCGCAGCGGGCACCATCTCAGCTGGGTCGACGGAGTCGACATGCTCGCTGTCAGCGGCAGCGGCAGCAGCCTGTTCTGCAAAGGTATCCGTTTTGACAGGCTTGAAAGCAGCAGTAGCAGCATTCTTGCGTGGTCGGCCGCGTGGCTTCTTGATCGATGGTGGGGAGGCGCCAGTGTCGGCTCCGGCGACGGCCTCGTCTTCAGCAGCGCCATCGTCAGGCCCCTTCTTCGCGTTCTTGGCAGCCGTCTTTCGGGGAGTCTTGCCCTTCTTCACGGCCTCGCCCTCATCGTCGAGGTCGTTGCCCTCGTCCGACTCTTTCTTGGCGCGCTTTCTGCCCGGAGTCTTTTTTGGCGTGGCCGGGACGGGGGCTGATATGGACAAGTTAGTTCTGTGCGGATGGAGTATTGTGCGATGGGGCAGGATGAGGTGAGTGAAGGTGATGTACCCTTGTAGCCCTCCTCGCCCTCTTTTGGGCGCGCGAGCAGCTTCTTCTTCAGAAGAGCCCACTGGTTGAGAGCAGTCTTCTTGGTCTTGAAGTTTCCAAACTTCACGAACAGGTCCATGTCCAGCTCAGGTGCGCCTGATACCATTGTCAAGGGTTAGCAGTCATCGAAAATACTGTAACATGATAACGACCTACCGCTCTTGAGCGACGAAAGTGCTGCCACAAGGAGGGCGTGCTCTCTTGAGCTTATCTCGCTGACGGGAGCGGAGGTGTCGGAGGACTCCTGTGCGTCGGACATGATGTCCTGTTTGTCAATGGTGGGTGGCTGTGAGGCACGATGAGTCAGTTCTGATGCGACGGTGACAGTGAGGAATCCACTGGAGAGTGGAGTGTTGGCTCGGTGGGCATACTGACGGTAGAGGAGTGGTTCTGGACAGAGGCGGGAGGTGGTTTGTGTGTGGTAGTGGGAGAAAGAAGCGCAGGTTTCCCAGGAAAGAGGCACGTCTTTTATACGTTGGGTGGGCGACCGCGAAATTCTCACCGGGACGCTCCCGTGCGATTGTGACTCGTTTCCCATTCACTCTCACCACGCGTGACCATTGTGCCAGCCTCTTCCCACATCTTGTACCAGGCCTCCATACGTTTCTCGGGAACTCCCCTACGGTGTGAATAGGCCCCCTTATCATGCGCCACTACTGCCTAGATCTCGTATTTTGCAGCTCATCGAACAGGCAGATATGGCGACTGAGTGAAGCGGAGAACATGCTTTCTTTCCTGAACATCCCACAACACTTTGTCTCCATGTGAGTCGAGACCCTCAGCACGCGAGGATGCTCGCAGCGATCACGACAAGCTCGACAGCGTCGTCTTCTCCCATGTGTCGGGCGTAGAATGGTGTATTGCTGCATCGACGCGACACCTGCGGAGTGATGGCAAACCACTATCCCCCCAGAGCAATACTGCACCGTCAAAGTCATCCTGACTCTGTCCTACTGGGCGTCTTCTGGTGCAAGGTTTCCGCAGCAACGATAGTCATGAGGCTGAGCTCGCCGCCATCGTGCATGTTGCCTCTTAGAACGAGAGGCTTCTGACAAGCCTAGGTGCTCTCGTGGGGCCACAATACTTTCGACCCGCTGGTGAACATCTTCGACACGGATAGCTTCCTATGGCCCTCGTTCCGCCAGCATCATCGCGAGAAGAGGAGGGTAGTGAAGGGAGGCTCCACAACTTCGGCAATTTGTGCAAAGTGCTCGGGCACGGGCAGAGGCAGAGGCAGAGGCGCGTTTACTTCGCGTGTCGGCTTGCGATTACACGCGCGGCTTCCTACTGATCCAAAGGAGCGGATGGAGCAGTTGAGAATGGGTCACCTCGTGTCACATATGACTCGAAGACTTGGATGCGTGGCAGGGGCTTCGGAACGCTGGACATAAGATGAACATCGTGAAAGAGAGTCTACATTGCGGCGAAGGTGGCCTTGTCGAATGTGGAAAATGGTTTGACAACACAGGTCAGCCATCTCTGGATCTTACTTCCGTTCGGATCGCATCTTGTTGGTCTAGATAGGATCGGCGGCCTCGTCGTACAGGTCGGCATTGACACCATCCAGGGCTTCCCCTTCTACTCGTACATCGTTAGCGCCGTTCTCGGTCGAGTGAGGAGCTTAGCATGACATACCGCCTTTCGGACGTAGGTGGTTCCTATACGAACGCAGGCAAATAACGCAGTCAAGAACATTCTTGCCCCTTTGATTAGTATTCGTAGCCAAAGTACACATAGCTATCACAGGGTCCTCGGTACGGAGTCCGCGGTAGCCACAACGGGATTGGAAATGTATGCTGACATATGGCGCTACCTTATGTATCGACAGGAGCAGGTGGGCTATTGATGAGAGCCTTGCAAAGTCCCAAAGGACTTGCCCGTTTGACTGAGTCTCCGGGATAAGGTCTGTGGCGGGAACCTATCCTCAGACTAGACCTCTTCCAAATCGACAACATGTCAGGCTTGTCCAAGCTGGTCTTGACGAGACTTATACCCACAGCTAAAGGCTGCATGACCACGTCGTCCAGGGTCTCACTTCTGCGGGTCCCAATCGTAATAACATAGGTACGTCTAGGGTAGCGTTACATAGCTGACTTGGGGCAGAGAACGCTAGCTGAGGCCTGCCCGACGGTAGCAGTCGAATTCTTGGCGCGCTGGATATGCCAAGCATCGCGATGCAGAGACAATGTGCTACGGCAGGTTTGCGTTTCCTCGAGCATTGGGCTGTGGTAGCATTGTCGCTCTGCTCCACATCAGTGCCTCAATGCAAGAATAACATGGCATGCGCCATACGCCGGCCAGATCACTGCTAATGCCGCAGCTGAAGACACCACTAGCAGGAGAGCTGAGGCTGCAGCAGGGTTGCAAGGCAGCGCGATGATGTTGAAGTGTAGCATAAAGTTACTACCGGCGGGTTTCCAGCGATCCCACATGATCAGAAGACCAGACTTCTTGCATGCTAAGGTGACACGTATTGGTGCGGTGTCAATATAGTAGGCATGATTTGGTATCGGCAAAGAACCCAACATGATTGAGTATGTAAGCATGTGGAACACCAGGTGAGACGCTCAAGACCCAGGGGAGCGATATAGGCAGTCTGATCTGGAAACGTGAGCATGTCAGTCACGCCAGTTGATGAGGACTTCATCAGTCCTGAAACGTTGAGTGCACATGGATTCTTCCAGCTTCGTCCTGTAGCCCATCTCATATGCCAGCAGGCCAGCATGTGCGATCATTATACCGTTGTCAATGCAGAACCTCTCATCCGTAGCAAAGACGCTGCCTCCACGCTCACTTGCCATGATGCCCATCATCTCTTGCAGTCGGAGGTTACAGCCTACGCCGCCCACGATGAGCACTTGCGAGCTTCCTACATGTGCCATCGCCCGCTCTGTGATTTCGACCAACATAGCAAAGACAGTCTCCTGCAGCGTGAAGCACAGATCCTCCTTTGTGACCAGATCACCACTGTCTTCGTCTTTCCAATCGTGACCCAATCTATGTGCCATTTCCTCTACCTTGGCCAGGATACCACTGAAGCTCACATCCATGCCTTTGACGGCGTAGGGTAGCTCGAGCAGGACTTTGCCTCCCTTGGCGAGCTGTTCGATGTTGTATCCTGGTGCCGGATCGTTCGAGATCTCCAAGACTCTCGCGAAACGATCCAGGCAATTGCCTACAGCGATATCCAAGGCTTCTCCAAAGATGCGGTAACGCTGCGCAGAGTATGCAATGACCTGCGTGTTACCTCCTGATACATATAGCACCACGGGATTCTGTGCCCTTGTGATGGCTCGTCCCATCTCAATATGTCCCACACAATGATTCACACCCACTAGAGGTTTGTCCCATAGTTGACTCAGCATCCTTGCAGCAATGGCTACACTTGATAGAGGAGCTCCCATTCCGGGCCCTTGAGTGAAGCATATGCAGTCGATATCTTCAATCTGGATTCCGGCCTGCTTGATGGCCTGCTTGACGAGGCGGACTACCCATCTTCGGTGGTGAGCAGCTGTGTCCTTGGGGAGGAAACCCGTCCCTGGCGGAGAGACAAAGGTGTGGCGTAGATTGGAGAGAATCTGGACGGGCTGAGAATCGATTTGTTTTCGCAGTCCGTCATCGGAGTGGGCGCTGTCGTGGGGAGAGGGCGGTGAGGAAAGAGTCGACGAGACGGGGTGGAGGATGACACCAACGCCTAGCTTATTAGCGGAGCCCTCGAGGCCGAGAGCGATAGGCATGGTGGAGAGTGGTGATGGTGGTGGTGGTGGTGGTATCGCGGCACGAAGTACCTACGAAGTGCATGTGAATATGGACGCGAGTGGGGCGTGGAAACATGACATCGCTTCTTGAGACTCAGCCACTCTCCGGTGTTGTTTGCTGTTGACTACACGATTGATTCTCGCGACAACATCCTCACTGCCCACCGCTCCACCCCTCTCACCCCTCCGTCCCCTATCTAGTTCTGGTCGCGAAATCGACTACTACACCTTCAGCACTGCATCGTTCCCTCCATTACCGTGAAGAGCCGCCAAGATGTCGTGGAACGGGCTCAAGAAGAGCGTGGGCCGGACGACGACGAATCTGATGATGAAGACGGGCCACGTCGAGCGAACGACGGACCGCGAATACGAAGTCGAAGAGCGCCGCTACCGCACCCTCGAGGCCGCGTCGTTGCGCCTGCAAAAGGAAGCCAAAGGCTATCTTGACAGTCTGCGCGCCATGACTGCCAGCCAGATGCGAATTGCCGAGACCATTGACGCGTTTTACGGAGACAGCGGAGCCTCGGACGGCGTGAGCAGAAGTTACAAGCAAGCGGTAGAAGACCTCGACGCCGAGACGATCAAGGCGCTTGATGGGCCATACAGGTGTGTTTCCCACGACCCAAGTCTGTTGGACATGGTCTTTGACGAGGACGTCGGCATGTACGACTATAATGTTGTCCAGGAGATTGAGGCAGAGCTCAATTTCAAGGCTGGAAACAGGAGGAACTACACGAGGGATATGTGTTGGCGCAAGGTCAAGGAGGACGATAAGCTCATTGAGTTTTGTTACAGAACTACCGTGCTGGAGCCCATCAATCGCTTTTGTGCTTATTTTCCCGACATCAACGAATGTGAGTCTTATTTTCTGCCATACCTTTCGATTTCACCTAAGCTGACTATTCTACAGGCATCAAGAAGCGGAACCACAAGATGCTCGACTATGATGCCATGCGCAGTAAAGTCAAGAAGCTGGTGGAAAAGCCAGACAAAGATGCCTCCAAGCTTCCACGCACGGAGAAGGAAACTGAAATGGTAATGTCTGCTTCCGAATTTATTCGCACCAGCCATTTGTTTGCCGACGACTTTGCTGCACCTCGTGATGATTTGTCATTTCCTTCTCCGCCAAAAGCGCTTGATGGACTCCGGCACAAGAGGAATGTTTCCAGGATCCAGGTCGATGAGGCGGCTGCCAAGGGAAGTAGTGGAGTTCGGCGTAGCTCAAGTGTGATGAATCGTGTATCAAGGGCGAGCAGCCTGCTCAAGAACTCCCTTCTGGATGTCGCGCTCGGCTGTTCACCCATTGAACCGTCGACCGAATCACCACCGGATCAGGAAGGAGTCTCTCCGCAGAGAAGCCCTGTCATCACGGAGACACCACCGACCAAAAATCGGCACTCTGGCTTTTTCGATACGCTGCCTGTACTACGCGAAGCGTCCAAGGAGACCTTTCCAGTGGCAATGCCAGTCACGCCATCCCGACTCAGTCATCCCAATACAGACACGCAGCGCACCCCCGCGAGTCCAACGCGACACACCAGCATGCCTCTTCACTCATCTCGCGAATCCAAGGCCCTCTCTCCCCTTCAGCTCTTTACTTCAGCGCATCGCAGTTCGCTGTCGCTCAGTTGCCTCGGCAGCAAGGATACCCAGAGAAGTATATCTATGCACTGCCGGAACCCGAGCTCCCCGTACAAGGCCAGTTCGGAGAGCGCACGGCCACTTCTCTTGCGCAACACGAGTTCATCGCGCAAAGCAAAGACAGACAAGATGTCTCCCCGCGCTCGCGTCAACGTGCCCACCCCTTTCTTTGAGCCGTCTGAGTTGGAGGACATCATGGCGCCTTTCAGGCAGAAGTTTGCAGAAGAGCAAGCTGACTTGATGAAACAGGCGAAAGCGGCGTACGAACAGCTGAATCAACAGCTTTCGGACGAGCTACCTCAGTTGATCGATCTTCGGTATGGCGAGATCAAACCTGTGTCAAAGGTGGCTGACCCACTGACTTTTGTGATAGCGTACCATACCTCGATCCATCATTCGAAGCCCTCGTCAAAATTCAATTACGCTTCTGCGCGGAAGCTTACAGCCGCATGGCCCAAGTACAGCAGTATCTCGATGCCTCGACACGCGACCAGTATGCCGGCGGCGATCTCGATGCACGAGTGGAGGATGTGTTAGGACAAATCAGGGAGCTGAGCATTGCGGGCACTGTTTAGGGAAGAGTGTTGCCGAAGGGTAAAAAGTCAGGAGACGAAGTGGCGCATCGGATGAAGTCGGCAAGATGCACATGAGTAATGCGCAATAGTTTTGCGGATGCATGATCTGGTACTTACAGCAGTCACGTTATGGTACGACGCTGCGACGCAGTGGAAAGAATGACGAGTACCTATTTTCTGTAAATTGACTTGATGAAGACGACGGACGATTCCAGTGACTTGTTTTGACTTTTGACAGGACCAGAAAAAGCCTCACACATTGCACGCAATACCGGCCATCATCAGCGATATGTACGAGGTACATGGTAGACTCATAGAAGTCGTACAAACAGCTTGGAGTGATGCAGGTAATATTTGAGGCCACGGGGACTGAAACAAAAAGATGATGATTGCATCTACATGTATCCTTCAGCTCTTTCCCGCTCCCCGACTAAACTGACCCTCCCCATCATCATCATGGATCCGCTTCTGCCCATCCGCATTTCCCTCCAAACCCACCAGCAGCTTCGGATCACCAGGAATCACCATTTCAAAAATATTCTCGGCCTTGACCACGCAATACTGATGATATCCCAACCTGGCAATCGGCATCGCCTTTCCCAAATCCACCAACCCATCCGTAAGAATCTTCTCATCAATATGCACCGCCACCACCCTCCCCACAATCACATCCACAGACCCCATGGGCGGACTCCCCGGCAACCGCAACGTCGAATAATACTCACATTCAAATTTAATCGGCGAAGCCTTCACCATAGGACAATTTCCAATCGTTCTCGCTTCCTCCTTCTCCAATCCACATTTTTCAAATTCATCCTCTTCGGGAGCCATTCCTTCCGCAGACATGTTGACGAATTCTCGTAAAGCAAATGTCGCCATGTTCCAGCAGAATTTTCCCGTTGCTTCGACGTTGTTGACGCTGTCTTTACGTTGCGCTGAAAGGTTTTGGTTCGATGAGAACATTACGTATGGAGGGTCGAAGGTGAGATTGTTGAATTGGGAGTAGGGGGCTAAATTGTCGATGTTGGAGGGGGAGCGGCTGGAGATCCAGCCGATGGGGCGGGGGGTTACGCAGGACTTTTTTTTGGTTAGGAATTGAATATGCTATGCTTTCTTGGTGATGGAGTGGTACGTACCTTGAATGGATCTCGTGGGAGGCCATGAGGCGTTTTACCTGGTTCGTAGAACACCATTGTTTTTCTTCTTTCTTGATTGGGGAGGATTGCGGTATAATGGCTAAGGTAGGTAGGTACCTTGATGATATCTGACAAAGGTTTAACAAGTGAAAGAGTAGGTAACTTGTGAATTATGAGTATTCTCTCTCAAAGAAGAAGAGGGAGGTGGAGTTACCTATAGGTAGGAGGTAGGTAGATCAATTCAGCTGGGCCGAGCGGTACCACCTACCTACCTACCAGTAGCGGCATGCAGCTCGGCATGTGCTAGGAATAGCCGAAGTGTTACATATACTTCTCATCATACTTGGTCAGGACCCTGAGGGATATAGGTAGCCAATTGTTTCTCCTATGATATCGGATATTGTCCCCTATAAATGCCTTGTGTCTTTCCTGTGGGTATGTGCCTCCTACAAGTAACTGCCGATGACTTTACAAACTCCCTCGGACTGGATTGGATATTTGAATAAAGCGGGTATAATTGATCTAGCCCTAGAGACAGTCTGCTGGATCAGATTTAATCCAGCTGATTGTAGACTGCCGATTAGGGACGAAGTGGCGGAAAGACACAAGATGATGTTGATATTTACCTGTACTGTACTTTGGTGAAGGAGTTTGTTGAAATGGATTCCACTGCGTGTATGAGTGTAGTACCTAGTGTATGAAGCATAGCCAATCGGGTATCTCCGCCGCTAGCTGATGTATCAATACCCAGTGGGTACAAAACAAAACCCATCCAAAATACCCAATGGGTACAACACCCATCCGAACCCATACAGCACCCATCCCAAGCCTCTACCCGAAAATCCAACCCAAATTAAGTCTGGAACGTATACTGAACGTTCTCGCGGCACCAAGTTGCTAGTAGCCAGCCCCCATATAATCAGCAACAGCAACTCCTCTCCACCAGCAGACAGCGGGTGGAAACCTCTGATTCTGCACTCTCCATGCCGCGGTCTGCTGCAAACAGTCAGTAGAGACGGTCTCGAGGCTCGTGAAAACTTTCCATGCCGGGCCCCAGCTTGTCTTCGTCGACGTGGAGTTTCCAATTTCGTTCAAAAAGTGTCCCGAGAAACCAATGCGCTGTAGGGGCTCGCAGTCTGCATGAGCCACAAGAAAGGCATTGCGCAGTGAGACGTTCTGGTACTTCCTGTTGCGGATTTTCTGTCCAAAGATCATCTAAGCCCTGTCAGAGGGAAAGACTTTCTCAGTGCACGCAGTGGGACCACCGCTGAAGACGGCGTCTTTATACCGCCAATGGTCCTCCCGTTGCAGACCGTACTTGGTGAATTTCTCGGACTGCAAGGCAGGTCCCAAACACGTCGTTGAACCAAGCAGAAGGCTTCAAGTAGTACTTCAAAGCGGAAAAAACCGCGGAGAATAGCTACCTGTTGTTGTTGACACGAGCGGTAGTGCACAGGTATATTGTTGAGCTTTCTCCCAGAATCTTGGCGCTCTCGCTGCATCAAGAACATACATGCAACCACAAGCCACAGCAGGAACGCACCGCACTGGATGAAGGCATCAAGATGGCGACTCACACGAATGAATCCTTCATTTCACTTCCGCCCTCTCCTGATTCTGATTCTGATTCCGTATTCACAACACTCCACCAGATGCAGGATTATATCTGAAGACTTCCAAGCCGACTTTTTCGTCGAAGTTGGGAAAACTGCTGTGTTGATGGAAATTACGAGTCTGGGTGGCCGATTTTGTGAGAGCTGAAGCATACCTTAGGCTGGCGGTATACATGGTTGGAAGTCTGCTTGCGGAAGTATGTTCCGCTACTGGGCAGCAATCGCAATTCTGTACAGGAAGTGGTCGTAGTAGATCAGGGTGGGATCTTTATAGAATTGTGATGGTATCGTGGAAATGTAATTTTATTGCTAATGCCAGTGTAATTGACCTCAGATCTCAGCATCTATCAAGCTGCACTTACCGAGAATGTCCGCACACAGCAGGAACTTACGCTTCAGTAAGACATTAGATTTCGCTCATTCCGGATCCAAGGGACTTTGAGCAGGAGACAGCATGTCTGGCCGTCAGCCTTCTGTACCTCACTAGTGAGCGCTGCCTCATTCGGCGATGGAGAGGGGTGACACCCCTTCAAGCGCCCGAATGCGTGCACGTATGCAGCAGTAATACAGCCCGAAGCTGTTGACAACTCTTGCACCAATTAGTGCTCCTCTCCCCACCGTCCGTAGCCTTTGCTGGAATTAAGCGATCACGACCGACGGGACGCGGATTAAGCTGTACTGCGATTCCTCAATAGGATTTCCTCAACTTCGAAGGTCTCCCTCCATTGCGCTTCTGTGAACAATCTGCCTGTCGGTGGCCTTTCTCATTGCACCGATGACAAGTTATCGGCGACGCACCACCGCCATTCGAAATGCTCGTCGGCGTGCGGTTTAAGTTGACTTCTTTCTTCCGCCTCTGTTCAGCGAGTTTCTGCAATTCTTCTTTTTCTGCCTTTCTCTTCGCTTTGCGCTCCGCCTTGGCACGAGCCGTAGCCTCCTTTTTTCCTTGCGCAATCAGCGCATCTATACCCGTGTCATCTTCGGCATCCGGTTCGTCTTCTTCGTCCTCATCGTCCTCTTCAGATTCGGATTCAGATCCAGAGGACATGTCTGGATTGTTTTGCTTCTCAATGACCTTGTTAAACTTGCCAAAGCTCTTTCTGCCAGGCATGGACGGACGCGATGGGACCTCCTCATCTCTGTCGGAAGAGTCGTTGTCGCGGCTCGCAGAGTCCAACACCGCATATCCAGCTTGTACTATTCGCAAAGGTGATTCCACGGCAGGCGCTTGCGGCGCACGAAAGCTCAAATACCATTTCGAATCGTCTCGACCTGCAAATTTCGAGTCGGTCGCAGTAGCTGGGCTTGACGCCGGCGATACATTGGCAGCACCGCTCGAAAGTCGTTGTTTTTTGGCGGGAGGCTCAATCGGGGTCGCGGGTGATGGAGGGCCTGAGCGTTGCATGAATTTCATGCCCGCCAGTCGCGAAGACATGACCTTATTCGGTCGTCCATTTGTGGCCATGTTGCCAAATATTAGGGTGCGGTGCGATTGGGTGGAGCGGAGATGGGAGAAGTGGAAGTGAAAGTGGAAGATATCGATCAGTGTTTGAGAAGTCGAGAGCTCCGGCTAGCGCGAGCGTAAAACGGGTCAATATTCAAACCACTCCACTATTCGAAAGACTCCTCCCCCCTTGCATTTCTCACTATCCTTCTTACTATCTTATCCTAGAACGCACAGAGATACCCAGACCCAACATACAAGGAGGAGGAGAGCAGAGGGTCCCCAAAACCAAAGCCCAAAGGTGCCTGAGATACCTTCGCTAAGAACTTGAAAGTCGGGAAATCCCCTGCATGGGAGGGAGAGCTATTAACATCTATAGTATCAACCTTATATACTAGGCCTTTTTCTTCTGGAAGGGCATAGCTGCGATTGAAGAAGCTGGGCGTCAATTGCGGCGTGCTAGCAGTCATATCGGCGATGAACAGACCACTACATCCTAGGCCCTAAGTGACAAGTCGGCATTGATGACGGACAAAGAGCGTACCTCCACCTATAAGCCGCAGCAGCAGGCTCAAACGGGCATTCAAGGGACTCTGCAAAGGCCGTATAATCCCTCACCAAACGTCACGGCATCGACACGGCAAGCTTCGGCGACAACGATGCTACCCATCGATACCTATAACGACTGGAAGTTGTCAGTAGCAGATCGACCCCTATGAACACGTGAACTGGATCTGTTTCACCATCCGATACGGCATACTTCGTCCCCGACAACGGTCTTGAAGAGTACCAAGTTACACATTGTTGGCCCTAACAAGACCTTTTGATATCCGACCGGACATTGATGCTCCCCCTACAATACTACGAATTACTATGTATCACCTCACACTGGCTCACAGCATCACTGTGATGGTTTGAGCAAAGTTTGAAAGTGCGACATGTTCCCTGCATTCTAATTTCGGCGTGGCTAGTGAACGCGTAGTTCTATCCGTACATATCCCGGCTACTGGACTAACTTTGGCAACGACCACGAAGTTTCACCTAGGCAGTCACTGCAGTATATATAATATAGTCAACAGCGCTTACGCCGCCTGACTGCGAACTATTCCAGTATCCAACAAAAGACTTCTACCACCGCAAACTCCAAGCACAGAACAAGTCTCCTTACAATACCAACCCCACCAAAGATTCCACAACAAGCACGATGCGATCCACAACCTTCCTGCTCAGCGGCCTCCTGTCCCTCGCCAACGCCTTCACTCAACCTCAATCGTCGCCTACCTGGGGCGCACTTCTCGCTCCCGATAGCTCCAACCCCGTGACACGCGGACAAGACTTCGTCATCACCTGGGACCCCAACTACGGCGGAGTGACGCGTCCCGTCGACGGCGTCACCGTGAGTTTGGTCTTGTGCCGCGGCAACTCCAACAATTGCGCACTGGGTCAAACAGCCATCGTCGAAGGCATTCCGGCCGGAGACAAGCAGTACACCTGGAGTGTCCCGTGTGATCTTCCCGCGGGAGAGGCAAATACGGACACGGGGAATGGAATGTTGATTATTGTGGATGGGACGGGAGAGTTTCAGTATTCGACGCAGTTCTCCGTGTTGGCGGGGACGACGTGTCCGTGAATGAACGAATGTATGAAAGACGGCGCAGGGTTGAGAGTACTTTTGGTTTACCGAGAAAGAAAGGGGCGTGGAATTGGAATCTTTTTGGGGGGGACTGATGGTCATCACAGCGCAGGTGTCGGAGAGAGACACGATGCGGATCGAAGTAAAGAAAAGTTGTATAGTTGATAATGCATGATCGTTTGTGATGGCGCGAGCATCCGACCATCTGAAACTGTCTATTGTGCTGTAGTCTGCGTGACCCAGACTCTACCTCCATACAACATGTTGTTTTCTGTCTGAGTCTCAGCGATAAGGATCAATACGTGCCTGTCGATCTGATGATAGATCACAAAAGATGGAAGAGTTCTTTTACAGTTTTACTGTAAGTTTCAAAGCATAAGACAAGGTTCCAACCTTTATATTCCATGTATCCCATCTTCTCTCTTCAACAAGGATTACCATAACTACATCTCCCCCTTCAACCTCCCCACGTGCCCCACAAACTGTCATCCATTCCAACCGACAGCCGCAAATAGTCGGTCGTAATCGGAAGTGAATTACGACTTCAAGTCCTCCAACAACATCTCCGTCAAGGCCAAAATCTTTTCTTCCTGCAACCGCTTCCCCGTCAATTGCAAACTAATCGGCAACCCATGCGAGACCTCCGCATCATACTCGCTCTGCGTCTGCGCATCGACATCTCCGTACGCCTGCACACTCAAGTCCACCACATCCTTCTCCTTATCCACATAAATACCCGTCGGAAACGACACAGCGCTATAATCCAAGATATTAAAGACGCCCGTGTAGCCCACATGTCTGAACTCTCCATTCTTCGGACTGGCATAAGGAGTCGTAGGTCCCAAAATAGCATCCAAACCATCCACAGCAGCCCACCGATCCAAATATCTCTTACACAGCGCCGTACGCTGTTTCTGCCACTGCCAAATTTCATATCCGGTCGCAACTTTTGCGTCTTCATAAGCCTTCATTTCTGGTCTCCAAGGCTCACCTACGGGATCGAGAATTTTCTCGCAGGAAATTCCTCCATCTGCGAGAAAGAATTTGCTCAGGAGATCGATTGCTTCGGCGTGATCTTCTGCTGTCCATTCTATCATTTCGTACCCTTTGGCTTGCAATTTGGTAACTGTTTCGCGCAAAGCTCGCGTCACGGGTGGTGTGGGCCTCACCATGCCATTATCCCACAACACGGCAATTTTCGGCTTCTTCTTCCTCTCATTCTGCTTCACCTCCACCACTGCCTTTTCTTGTGCCCCCCTCCACGGAATCTCCAAACACTTTGGATCACGAGTCCACGGTTCCGTACCAATAACAGATTGTGCATACAATTTCAAATCGGCAATACTCCTCGCCATGGGACCATGAATAGACGCCACAGCCTCCTGGCCCGCCAGCGCCGATCGAGCATCAAAATGCGGAAAACGACCAAAACTCGGTTTGAGCGTAAAAATCCCCGTACACGCAGCAGGGATACGAAGACTTCCTCCAATATCAGTTCCGATTCCCAAGGGTGAGCCACCAAAAGCAATCAGAGCAGATTCTCCTCCCGAAGAACCTCCCGAAGTAGTCGCGCGGTTGCGAGGATTCAAAGTACGGTCGTAGCAATTATTGACAGTTTCCGCAATCATCATTGCTGTGGGGACATTTGTTTTCACATAAAGGATTGCGCCGAGGGAAAGTAGGGTGCTGACGATGGTGCTGTCTTGGGGCATGGGATCGCTGGCCCAGTGGCAGAATCCGACGGAGGAAGGGTAGCCTGTGATGTTGAAATTGTCTTTGAGAGAGATGGGGAGGCCGTGGAGAGGACCGATGGGTTTTCCGGTGCGGTGGAATTCGAGATCGAGTTCTTGGGCGCGTTTGATGGCGTCGGAGAACATGATGACGGTGAGACAGTTGGTCTATAAGAGCACAAGAAAGAGATGTGAAAAAATTAGAAAATTTTCCCACATGGAATAAGGGGGAATGGGAGGGGGGGG